TAATGATTTTCTCACTGTTTTTACAATAAAATTAGAACCTAGTTTCTTAAAAGAATGTTATTTCTGTGTATTATTCATTCTCTTTAATTAAGTCTTTAAAAGAACTTCAAAACTTTCTAATTAACATTCTTCTGAATTTACTGAATAATTTTTTTTTCCTAATCATAGGAAAAAAAGTGACTTTAAAAAATGCTTGGAATCACAACTGATTTTACACTGTATGACAGGAATAATAGTTCCTTGATTACAATCATTTTTTTCCCAATGACTTTCTAGAGTCTATTTAAAGAAGCCCTATTAATTCCAAGTAAAAAAATTGAAAACAACCATCTACTTCCTTTCCAGTAAAAAAAAACCATATCACTCCCCTGCTTCAAATCCATTTGAAGAGTTGCGTCTTCCAGGAAGCCAATCATAAGCCTCCTAGGCCTTGACAATAAAAAAAACAAGGTTGGAGTGCTCCTGAACCTACTCAACTAATGCTAATTAGAATTATATCCAATTAGAAAGAACTAGACATTTTCTGAATGGAGTAATACATTTAGGGCACTAGAAAACCATTTTGTGAACTGTACCATGGGGACATGGTGGTGTGTGCCTGTAATTGTAACTACTCAGGAAGCTGAGGGCAAGGAAAACCTGAACTCAAGAATTCTGAGTTCCTTGTAGATTGAATATTCATACACAGTTCTTTGTTATTATATTTCTTGTGTATCAGTTTGTCTGGGGAGAACTAAACTAACACAGTTCAGAAAATTTACCATCTAATAAATACCATTGTTAAATAATACTAAGTGAAAAAGAATTAAAAGTACATTCAATTCTTTCTTCATTCACTAAGTCCAGCCAAAGTGGAATAAGACCCATAGGAAAGAACATATATAGGGGCTAATTTAGAATTTTTCCAGAGTCACTCTGCTTAATTCCTTGAGTTTAAAAACACAAAATAATAACAACCTAATACATACCTAATTCTTTTATGATGCGTCAGTCACTATCCTAGCACCTTCATATCTATCAACTTACTTAACGCCCACAAAACCCTTAAGGTATAGGTACTATTGTTTTCCTCATAGGAAAAATGACTCATAAAAATAACTTGTGTAGGACAACACAGCTAGCAAGTAGGAAAGACGTGTTTAATCCAGGCAGTGGAATTTCATACTCTGTGTTCCTAACCTGTTATTAATTTTTGATGTGTTCTTTTCTTTTTTCTAGCAAGAATATGGTTTCTAAACTATTCTTTAGAGAAGTGAGATCCCATGAGAATGCTTCTTGGGCCATCAAGTAAACAACAAAAAGCAGATGGGACTCTGGGCACTTCACCCAACCAAAGCAATTTCACTACTTCTGTTTAAATATAGATGATGCAAATAAACTTCTTACAGTAATAATTAATAATCTTTGTAAGATGAGAATGTATTGTCCAAGAACATTTCACATTTTTTACCTTAATATTAACTTAATAAATTGAAACTACATGACAGTACTATACTCATCAGACAAAAAATACAAATACATTTATATCAGAGAAAATCTTAAACACCAATATAATTAAACTGAATAACAACATTGAAACACACTGAGATTGATGTTTAGTGGTTAACAATGAGTGATCAAAAGATTTCATTACTTTAAGACTATTGATGGGTTAAGCATAATCTGTTGTCACATAAAAAAATAGGTTTACTTTTCATACTTGTTTATTTTTAGATATACCAATACATTCTGATGTACTAAAATGTCCACTCACATTTTTAGGATTACTAAATTAACTTAAGAAATTACATTAAAATTTAAATTATCAGTATAAATGTTATTTCATAATATTTTCTGATGTTCATTAATTGTCTTCTATTTCACAGAAGTTCTAAGAAACTTGGGAAAAAAACTACTCTATTAGTTATCTTTTATCATTTTCATCTGTTGACCTAAGAACATATGTGTTTATAAAACAGAAAAAAGTCTACTACCACCATTTTATATTCCCTCTTATTTTCATTTTTCAGCTTGAGAGCTTACATCTAAATCAATTAAAAATCATAGAAGATTTAAGAAAATAAAACTGAAGTACTAGTTTATCTAGTTCTGGATTTCGATTAAAAGTCAAAAGTAGCAAAAATAAAAACTCATATTTTCTCTTCTCCAATTGCTTGGCGAGTTTTATTTTAGAGAAATACAATTTCCAACCAAGATACAGACATAAAATATATCCACTGCTTAAAATACTTTACTGAAATTTCATTAAAATTTTTTTTACTTTATGATTATTGCCAAAAAATAACAAATTATCAACCTAACAAACCTCACCCTTATGGTGATCTGTCAGCTGAAATAGTACGTGTGAAGGTGAAACATATTGAGAGGGATGGCATTACCTCTACCAACTTATTGTAATGAAATTGCTGTGAACAGAGGCAAAGACTAATAAAATGAAGTTTGATGCCTTAAAAGATATACAAGAGGCCCTGGCTAAGTAGCTCAGCTGTCAGAGCATCATCCTAGTATGACAAAATTGTGGGTTTGATCCCTGGTCAGGGCACATATGAGATGCAACCAAAGAAAGCATAAATAAGTTCAATGACAAATTGATTTCTCTTTTTCCTCCCCTCCTTACTCTTTCTAAAATCAATAATAATAAAAAAATTAAAAAGAAAGTTAAATGCCAAACCTAGCTCAATATAGCTAATTAGATTATTTAATTTTAAAATATTTAAGATTCCATTTAATTATTTATTTAGAGAGAGGACAGGAGGGAGGAGGAGAGCGAGAGAAACATCAGGTGAGAAACATCAATTGGTGGCCTCTTACATGCGCTCAGACAGGGGCCTTAACATACACCCCAGGCACACGCGACAATCGGTAATCAGGTAATTGAACTAGTGACCTCTGGGTCTGTGGAACAATGCCCAACCAACTGAGCCATACCGGTTTGGGTGAATATTTAACTTTAATACTCATTTTTGAGAAATTACAGTTAACCATATGAAACAAACAGTATATGCACTATATCAATGGAAAACAGAATACAGTATTGCCTTAGAAGGAATGTAAGCCAGAGCCTCCCATGAATCATTAGCATGAATACTGGTTTTCTTCTGAAAGACTCAAGTATTCGTTGTTTAAGCTGTTAAAATGTTTTCTTAATCCCTATGAAAAAGCACCAACATTGGTTTTCTATACTAGAATACTAAACATAAAGTCCCTAGAACCAAAGTAACTTTGACCGTTTATATAAAACATCTTACAGAGATGGTACTGAAGATGATTTTCAGTGATCAGGCTGAGTAGTCCAACAGATAGATGTACAAGTACATCTTGTCTGACCTATCCCTATCTCTGAAGTTTCAACACCAATGCCTTTACATCATTATCTAAGTATAACTATAAGGATAATTTGCTTTGGCTTGCTCTTATCAGATGAGTTCTCTTTCTCCTCTTCCAGAAAAATAAAAATAAAAATGTAATTGTTTCATTAGTGCTAAGATCCTAGGAAAAACAATTTTGAGTAAAATAACTCACATTAAGGTATAGACAATATTACTCATCAAAGAAGGTTTAAAGAAAGAGTTTATTAATGTACACAGTATATGCTGAACAGACAGGCTATTTCCTGAGTGGTTCAACTGTAAACCAAGAAATCAGAAAATAACCAATTATGATTACATTTTTAAAAGACTGCTAATCCCTGGTCTGCAGAGTTATGACAGTTTAATTCTAATTTCCCAAGAATGCTACAAAGACAATGAATGGTTAATTGAAGGAACAACTGGATTAACAATAATGTACAAAAAGATTTATTTAGAATTCTTGATGGTGAACAGTCCTATACATTTCTCAGATAGTCAAAAAGATATGTAATAATGTCCTTATTAATCCATACTCTGCACTTTACCTTTTTTAATATATAATCTTTATCATGTATATATATTTTTTCCCATTGCCATTTAGTTCCAATATACTCTAGTCCCCCCAGGAATCAGCACACTGTTGTCTATGTCCATAAGTCCTTGTTCCTTGTAACTGCATCCCCCCACCCCTTCCACTAGCTGTCATCTGTTCTCCCCCCATGAGTCTGCCTCCTAGGCATAGGAGGTACAGTATTAAATATGAATAGAGAACAGAAAAAATGGCAGATTAAGAAATAAAAATTCAGAAAAAAAGAGAGAAAACTTACCAGAAGAAATTTAAATATCAGAAACAGTGTATCATTATTTGAGGCTTTTGAAAAAGAATTTTATTTGTGAAAGGGGTAGTAAATAGCCAGCTCTAATTTTATACATAATGACAGTGATATTAAAATACACATGGATCTTGTTACTTCCAAATCCATCAAAGACATAAATATTTAACAAGTTAAGTTGGAAGAGAATATAGACAGCAAGAAAAAAAGAGAAGTTCCACGGAGAGACAAAGGGAAAAAAAGGGCAGTGATCTCTTATACCCTCAAATTAAGGATCTTTAAGAGAAAGTGATGTGTTAAAACATGTATAGAAAAGGAGGTCCATAAAATTTTCTCATTTCTAAAATCTTAATTTCACAGTATGATTAAAAAAGATTTAAAATAATTTTATTTAGAGTTAGAGTTAAATAAATAAATTTATTTATTGGTGACCATAAAATATTTATTCTCTAACATTCCCACCAATGTCCAAAAATACCCAAGAGACTTCTATTCAATATGCAGAGATCTCACTAGCTTTCTTTTCATAGAGTCTAAGTTTTCTGCTTGGAGTTATATTTTTGCATGAATTGATATTTAGTGTTCTACTATGTGGTCATCAATCATATGCCATCTAAATGAGGAATAAGATACTGATATTCTCCTACCAGCACTAGAATGAATGAGTCAAATGTGTATGCTTAAAAATTCCATTTAAAAAGAAACTCTCAGAGCACATATAATACTCATAATGTGACATGTTAAACCCAACTCTACTCTTCTTATAACCCTGATTTCCATGAAAAACACAGGTTTCATATTGTTTGGAAATACCTACCTGAATAGCCGAGTTCATGAAACATGTGTTTCCCAAGTTACTTAGGCCACAGAGGCCTGGCTGCTCATTGTTTCTTCCAGGTTCTGAATAATCATAGTTCTTATAAGCAGTATATGATGGGAGACAATAATTTGAGTTTTTCACACTGAAAGAAAACAAAAAATATTTTTCATAATGCACCCAATTATTCAATATAGTTATAACGAACAGAGTATTTTAAACATATTGAGATAGGTGGTCAGTCATTAAACTTTTTATAAAGCACTTAACTCAAGTTCTTCCTAAGACATGAACTTAAATCAAAATACTCTATTAATTAAGATACTACTCATACAATCAACAAAATCACTGTGTCATATACCATACCAACCAAAACAAACCACTATTATATCTTTCTACCCTTGATTAACTGGAGCAGCTTCATAGCTTGCCCCATTCTTCATTGCTCCATCAAATTTAAAACATTCAGATTTTAAACACCACCCGCAGCAATAAATCATCTGATTTATGTCCCTTTTACACCCTGCTACTGTAAGAGAATAGTAGAAACATGAGGAGCTGTACTTTAGTTACAGGCAAGAGCAGAATATACAAGGCCTCTGTGACATCACTGTTCTGAAGATTCTATTTATAGTTTCTATGCTAGACTAGCAAAATCTAGTATGCAAATGTGGAAAAAAGCCAGGGAGAGCAGGAATGCAAAAATAAAATGATTCTAAGCAAGTGCATTCCAGTATTATTTGGGTTCTCTTTGTATTAGTTAGAATAATGCAGTTTATTTAACTAGATAAATAAAACCTCGGGATAATTGATACTATCAGTATAATAAATACTAATCTTAAAAAAATATACAATCTTCAATCTTAGTGAATCAAGGTAATTTTAGAAAAAAGAAAAGTCAATTAATAAGTGAAATATTTTTTCTTTTCTTTCTTAAAAATATTCTATTTATTTATTTTTAGACAGGGGAGGGGAGGGAGAGAGAGATGGAGAGAAACATCCATCAGTGGCTGGGCCTGCACCCCAGGCATATGTCCTAACCAGGAACTGAACCAGTGAGGACTTTTTGCTTTGAAGGATGATGCCCAACCAACTGAACCACACAGTTCAGGGACCCTCTTTCTTTTTACATGTAAAAAAAATAATTTCCTGAAAAAGTATGGATTCTCCCTTAATTTTTAACAGATTATTTTATAAAATATTTGTGATGGATACTTTGTATATAATTCAAAAACATAATTTCAATTTTTTTTATTTCATTAGTACAAACCTGAACAAGACTCAGTGAGGTCATTCGCTAAAAGCAAACGATGACGTAAATAAAAAGCAAAAAATATTATAAATAAACACAACAATCTCAATTTTTTACAATTTGTTTGATATTTTTTAAAGTTTTTAATTTCAAATATGTTGTATTGTAGCTTCTATACTACCACTTCATTATTTTAACAGCTTAAGTGGACTGTGCCACAGCTGTTCTAACAAAGTCTCTAATAAACACACACACAAGCTCACCCCAACAAGCTAAACAGGTAAAACACACAAAACCACATCAAGCAAAATTACATGCTCAATGCTAGCCCACTAATATTTTTGCATTTAAGAAAACATACCCCTCCATTAAAAACAAAAAGACTGAGTCCCTGACTAAAAAAACAATCTACCCTGGGATTAACAAAAAATAGCAGCATCCAGAGAAATACAATCTTGATCATCAAATTCAGAATTGCTAGTCTTGCAGCCATATGTGCGTTTAAACTTAAAAAAAAAAAAAAGGGTATGAAACAAACAGAATTCAAGCATCTGCTGGTTTTTACAGATCATTAGCCTTATAATTAATATTTAATTTTATATTTCCAGTTATTAACAAGGTACAAGGCAACTATTAGCAATTCAAAATAAGTTCACTCAATGACTGATGACTGAATACTTGAATCTAACTTCAAAGATATGCAACAAAAAATTGAATCCTATTTTTTAAAAAAGTTCTCTAAGTGCTAAAAATCAAGGACTGCTATATACTAAGAAAGAGGCAAGGCCTATATTTTGTACACATTCTATACATTAAAAACATATATTCTGGGTATTAAAATATAAAATTTAAGCAGTCTATGAGCATACAGGGAAGGTATGTCCCAGTGCATGCTCATGCCTACACCTACATACATGTACGCACACAAATGCACATACACAGATGCAAGTAAAAAGACTTAAAGCACATTTACATGCTTATTCCGTAAGTATATATATAGTTATCTGTCTCTCCCACAAATAACACAAATGGGTGCTGGAAACTATTCTTTTTTTTTTTTTTTTTAAGATTTTTAAAATTTATTTTATTTTTAGAGAGGGAAGGGAGGGAGATTGAGAGAGAGAGAGAGAAACATCAATGTGCGGTTGCTGGGGGTTATGGCCTGCAACCCAGGCATGTACCCTGGCTGGGAATCGAACCTGCAACACTTTGGTTCGCAGCCTGCACTCAATCCACTGAGCCATGCCAGCCAGGGCTGAAACTATTATTCTTTGTGGCAACAGGATGTGATTTGCTGCAATAGCTTTTCCTATTTACTGAAAAATGAACAAAAAACTTATTTACAAATGCAGTTTTTGTTTTTGTCTTTTAAAACCCGAATCCTTAAAGAATTTCTGCATTTTAGTTTAAGTGACAGGGTAAGTATAAGCAAGTTCCAAAGATTCGGATTGTCTAGATGTACAATGACAAAAATTGATGAACTTAAAATACTTTAATACTATCTCGATTGGTCACTTACAATCTACATTTTATGTGCTTTCTAAATCAGGTATTAAAGTATGTAATGGGAAATACCAAAACCAACAGTTCTTTAAATACTTTGATAAAGTACATGGAGACTTAGGCTTGAAAGACAGATTCTATTTTTTCATGACTATTTCTGCTTTTTTTCCTAAAAGAGTATACAATCCTATAAAGCCATGCTACTTCAAAAATAAATACAATTACCATTAATCTTAACAGAAATTTCAATACTATACCAGATTAATTCTCACCTTAAATATAAATTAAAAGTATAACCTTTTCTGTAAAATTGAGCCCTTATCATTCTATAAAAATTTCAGACTGATTTTTCAATTAGCACTTACATTCGACATTATAAACATTATACATCTATAATTTAATTCTCATAACTATAATTATGCTCACTTTGCAGTTAATGAAATGACACTTGCAGCAAGTAGCTTGTTAAAAGCCAGATGGCTAGCTAGTTCTGGCACTCTCCAAAATCCATGTCCTTTTCCTGGCTTAATCTCTTACAGGGAATCATTTCCATTTCAAATAAGAACTTTAAATGAATTAACAGAAAAATATAAATGTGTTCTGATGTGGAATGCTAAGAGTTGAGGCAATGAATACTTTAAGAAGATTTTTTAAAGGCAGTATTGTATCAAGGCAAATGTAGCAAGAGAGAAAAATGTAGGAAACAAAAAAAGAATGAATTTGGTATATTAAAGATGTTCTTAAATTACAATTAGGGCAAGAACAAATGCTGTATGAACTAACAGGTAAAACAACTACATAGGGTAAACAAACAATAGTCCAGCAACTTGTTCTTCAGGATAAGTCCTTAGTAAAATCTTTATTAAACATAAATAATTCCAAGTTTACTTTGTTATTTCCTTTACAGCCAATATTTTTATTTCTGGAAATGAAAATGGTCCATCTGGTATTATATCAGTTTAATTCAAATCTAAAGTTTGTAAATACATTTCATATGAAATGTACATTTCATATACAATGTATTAAAACTACTGACTTTAGTATATACTTTTACTTGTAGAATATCTCCACATATATAGTTTCAAAAATGCCCACAATCTGAAAAGGTCATTACTCACTTTACATATTTTTAATGAAAGGAATGATGCCGTTTCCATTTGAAGTCTTAAGCTGCTACTTATTTCCACAAATTGAACAGAAAATTAAGAAATAAATTCTAGGTGAAATAACTGTTTAGATATTTATGATAATAACATTTTTTGAAAATGGAAAAAATGCTTTGCATATTATAAATATTTAAGTTTCACTCCTTATTTTAAAAGGCAAGCGTAACTTTTAAGCATGGTGATACCTCAGCAGCTACTTGCTTAAGGTTTCCTAATATGAAAGAACTATTTTAGTGCCTACAATAGACAAATACAAAAAGTTAAAAATATAATCTAGTCATAAGAGTAGAGTCACTAGTTAATCATGGTTTAAAAAATAGGAAAACACTCCACTTCTCTTAATATTTTCTGCAGTCAGAGTGGTTTTGAGATCAGATTTTACTGTCATATTTTTACTATGAGAGGGAAGTAAGACAAAACAGAAACACACCAGACCACATATACTAACAGTGACTCTAGTCAAAATACAGTCCTTGTTCAGTAGTCTGTATACAATGTTAAAAATCTCTCTAAAGAGTAACTAAATACATGCTATACCTGGAACTGAATTATTTTATAGTAAATATCGGAGACATCCGCAACTGTAGAAACACAAGTAATATTTTATCTCCTATATAAAATTATTTTTGATAAATTTAATCATATAAAACATAAACCAGATTAAAGGAAACTATTTCTTTTTAGTCATTTACCTGTGGATAAACATTTTTAAATAGAAAAGAACATACTATACTGCAATTCTGGATATTCATAGTGTCATATTTCATTATACTACAATATATTATTTATTATACTATGGTATACATATCTTTTTATGAATTACTGAAATAAGGGAATGAATATTTTAAATCTTAACACATACGGCAAACTCTTCTCTAGAAAAGATGAACTAGTATTTTGACCAAACAATCCTTATACAGATATTCATCACTTAATTTTTCCCAATGAGACTGAGGTGGGAGAAAGTGGATAGAGATCTCTATGGTTTTAATTTGCATATCTTTAGTTACTAGTGAATTAGAACATTTAAAATGCTTATATATTTTAATTCTTTTATTTTTATTGCCCAGCTGTATCATTTGCCCATTTTTCTAATTGTCTTAGAAAATTTCTCACTGATTTTTATGAACTTGATATATTAAGAATATTAACCCTTAGTATTTCATTTGCAGCAAGTATTTTTCCATCTATTTGCCTTTTAATTTTTCTGCATTTGATGAAGAATAATTTAATTTAAAGTTTCAAAGGAAAATTATCAATAGCGATTCAGTTTTCCTTACATTTCCTGGCTAACTTGCTTCATTCTCCATCAGTCTTAGAATGCTTTCTGATTACATTAAACTCATTTATATATAAAGGTCTATTTCTAGGCAGTGTTTTTTATTTCTGGTCTACTAATCTATAAGTGTATTAGTGGGTCAGCAGTATGCAGTTAGAGTTCTTGTATCTTTATAACAGGTTATGATATTTAGTAAGATGACTCCTTTCTCATATTTCCTTTCCAAATCATTTTGGCTATTCTTATTATATATTTATAATCCAGACGCATATTAAAATAATTTTGTCAATTATCCTCATTCTCCCCCTAAATATGAATTTTATGGGAAAACTAATTAAACCTATACATTCAATTAATGGTGTTATTATAAAGATTAGTTGTCCAATAGGTTTAGCCTTTTTGAATTTACTCTTTCGGATAATCAGATGCCATTTATGAACTGGATAAGTACTACAGATATTTAACTATGTAAACACTGTTAATACATAAACCACAATGTACTTAACCAAGAAATAAAAAGAGAACAGTCATGTCTGGATTAAAATTCTTCCCATAATTTGACTGGACTGATTAAAAAAAAGCTTCCTCCTTTTCTATAAAAGAAAAACCATGCCAATTTTCTAGGTAATACACCCATCTCAGAGGATCTGGTAAGGTCCAAGTGATTTTCAACTTTTTTTATTTCAGCAATAAAGCACACACCTTCACTAACTTTTATAAATTTCAGGATTCTGAATATTATTCAGGATGGGGCAAATAACCTGTTTCTTTAATGTTTTAAAAGAAAAAGTGATTGCCTTTATAATGAACATAAAAACTGTATGCTTTACAATTGTACATCACTGATAAACACTTTTAAAAAATACTATATATTACATATCTAGTTCTAAAATGACATCTGAAATTTATATTCCTTCTAAAAAACTGAATTCTAACAGATTTCTATATGTATTTCAGTGTTTAGAATGTAAAATTCTAAAAAGTGCTTTATTTCTTTTAGTAAATTACTGTATTAAATCAAGGAAAAGTTTATGTGTTCTTTCCTGAGAAGTTACTACTAGAAGATCTGACCAGTAATTTTTAAAAAAATCAGTTTTAATGCATTAAGACTTTTATCCTAAATTTTAGATACATGAGATTTTTTTGCAACCACAATAGGGCGATCAATTAAACAAAGAGTTCTTAAGATTCAGTGCTTACTTTCTGTTGTTGATGTTGTTATAATTATTTGATAGAGATGAAGGAGAGATCTTTGGTAAAGTTGAAAAATTGGATGCACCTGGGGACCTTTAAAAATATGAAAATGTTAAATTAGATAAAAATGCGGAATTTTAAAATTAATTATGAAATAAAGAAAAGAACCAATAGATGACAATGTATGTAGTAAATGAATGCTGGAAAACAGATTTATGAGTAAAATCACTATATAGCTTTTGGTTTTCAATTTCCAATGTATTCTTTTATATAAAAAATAATAGTACAAAGGGAAGTACTTTCAAAAGGAATTTATGATATTAAATAAACAACTTGATATAACTCCCAAAGATTTACTAACCCAATAACACTATGAGTTCAGGTAACCACAATGAATATATCGCAATCAATAATTTCCTTAAATGAATAGAATTAAAATATTAATTTTTAAGGAAACATAAATAAAATGCATTTTGTGTCTCAGTAGGTGCCATGACATTCTAGTTATATATATCGGCAGAGATACCTCTGATATACCAATTCTTTACAATGTAGGGAACAGAAAGAGAACAGCATAAGAATTCAAAACATAATCCCAGAAGTAATATTTGGCCAAAGTTATCTCTGCAAACACAGAAGAGACATAGATGTGACTGTATGTTGCATACCTCACTAATTCAAAATCTTTTTGAAGAAATTCCAGTTACTAGCCTTTATTCAACTATTGCTTTAAAGGCATTAATTTAAAATCAACAAACCCACTATAAAGTACTTAAAAGCTTACAGAAGATTTCATTTCCACTTTAACTTTATAAACAATTTAAATTTACTAGGCAACATTTAGCCATGGTCTGTAAAAAGATAACTTTCAGTCTAGTATCTCAGTCATCATAAATTCTAAATTGGCAAGGCCCAAAGTGATCAGTTTTTTAAAAATTATTTTATTTCCTCTACTCAAATGCTAATGAACAATGAAATGGCCAATGGGCAGGAAAGTACAGCTTTCAGCAAACTGGATTTCTTTAAATCTACGTGCTTAGAATACATTATGCAGAATAAATGATGGGTAATAGAATTTCTTACATATACAATTTTTAATTTAATTTTTGACATTTTATATATTATAAAATCTTGGTAAAAATTTTTCTTCATTTTAAAGGAGGTTCTTTTTGTTGATGCAGGCTGTATACAGGTAGATTACAGTGAGATTTCTATTTAGGTGCCTTTCTGAAGAGAAGACCCTTACAACCAACCAAAGTTTAATATAAAACAAGTTAGAGGATCTATTTAAAAGGTCATTTAATAATCCTAATAATTTAAGGTATGCTAGTTTTAAAATATTAATAAAAATATAGGAGTATCCAGGCATTTTTCCTTTATGTTTGGAATGCTAAATTAGGAAAAAAACCCTACATTTATCAGACATTGAGATATAATAAATTAAGGAGGTTCATTTTTCAAAATGTTTGACTATATTTTAATTTAATTCATTAAACTTTTCAGAGACATAGATATAAACCAAAATGTACCCAGGGATTTTACTTATAGCAAAAATTATGGAAATAAAGATAAATTACATCATCCAATAAAGTGGCTGAGGTACATACACAGGGCAAAAGTAGGTTTTCAGTTGTTCATATGGAAAATAATACAATAATTAATAATATAAGAATAAACCATTTTGTGTACTCAAAACTGTAAACCTACTTTTGCCTCACCCTGTATGTTATTTTTTTTTTCTGTCCATCTGTGGCCTTTTTACTGTTCATTAACTACTCTATCCAAGGATAGTATTAGAAGTTTCTATGAAATTAATTAAAACATTCAATCATTGATTAAATGGTTACCAAGACTTCACCCTTGGTAAATAGTAGGAATATAAAGACAAAAACAACAATATATTGTTCCTGACCTCAAATAGCTCACAAATTAATGAAAGAAAAGGACACATAAGCAAAATGACCATAACACAGTATAAAACCTATGACAAATTTTAAAATTATAACAGAATATAAAATTTTGTGGGCAGTAAATGCAGTAATTTTAAAATTTTGTGCACAGAGGGGTAGGGGGAACAGAGTATTTCAGGTAGCAAGAACAGCACATGCAAATGTAGCAAACTAGAGATATTATAAGGTGTTTAGGGAGTTAATAAATTTGGATTGGCTGAAAGAATAGGAAGAATGTAGTGATAGGAACACAAGTTAGTAAGGTGTGTATGATAACAAAGAATCTTTCATGTTCTGTGAAGGAATTTGGATTTTATCCAATTGTGCTAGGGGAAGTAGAAAGATTTTAATAGGGTATCAACGTAATCAGATTTGTGTTCTAGAAAGGTAACTCCTGGGGAAAAGCAAGACACTTAAGATTGGAAGATCATCTAGGAGACCATAAAAATAATAAAGGTAAGAATTAATAAAGGCTGGGGCTAAGAGAGTGGAAAGGCAAGGGCAACATGTCTTGAATGTTTAGGAAACGATTCTCAAAGTACAGTCCAGGGGGCTCTAAGATCCTTTCAGGGTACTCATATATGAGGTCAAAACTATTTTCATAACAATATCAAAATGCTATTTAAATGGTATTTGACCTTTTTCACTGGGTGAATAATTGTAATGACAGTATAAAAAAAATGCTGGGTAAAACTGCTGCCATATTAGCATGAATTAAAGCAGTAGGACCAAACTATATACTGGAACCACTGTATTCTTTACTACATCCCCACCCCTGGAGTAGAAAATATAGTTTCACTTAATAATATCCATGTTAAAAAATAAAAATTATTAATTTTATTAAATCATGACCTTTATCTTCTTTTAATATTATGTAACAAATTAGAAAGCTTTCAAAAAGCACACCTACCTACTGAAGTGACATGGTTGTCATGAAAAGTAGTGCGATTATCTGAGTTTCAAGCAAACTAGCCCTTCTTCTCATGACACCACTCTTTTCACTGTTTTACATAAAAGGCTATCTGGCAGATGTTTTCTCAAAAATACAGGAAGGGGGCCTGCAACTTCAAGGAAAACAACTTTTTGTTGCCAATGATTAAATTCAAATGTTCAACCAAAAAAACAGAACTTTGGAAAACTTGACTTGGCCACAGTGAGCTTGATAGCTTCCCACTACTCAAACTTTTCTCATAAAATTGGTGATGTTTTAACAAGTGTGATTTTGAAAATATATTGTATAATGAAATATATCATCACTTGGAATACCTGCATTTACCCAGTGAATCAACATTCTCCACTGCATGAAGATTTTAATGTAACAGTATAAAAAGTTCATTGACCTGACTTTAAATTCCACATTGTAATTAACCTTTCATCATTAAACCACCACCAGCTGAGTTCTGATGTAGTATCAATCATCTGAAAAACTTCTCCCTGTACCAGCCATATATTTCTGTGAGGCTAGATATATAACACAAACTGTACATCTCAATAAATTGAAAGCAGAAGCACTTAAGAGAATTTAGCTATCTTCTATTCAGTAAGATATTAAAGACATCTGCAAAAACATAAAGCAATTCTGTTGTCCTCAGTACATCTTTTTTGAAAATAGTTATTTTTTACAAAATATGTCAAAATATTATAGTTTTATATTATTTATAAATACATATTTAAAATTTTATTTTGAATTTCTAAAATATATGTGTCAATAGATATAATAAACCAATGACGGAAGTTCTTTGGGTCCTGAATTTTTAAGAATGTAAAAGGGTACTGCGATCAAAACATTTGAAAACTTTAGGTTTAGGAGGTAGAATCTGTAAGACTTGGTGACTAATTAAATAAGAGGAACAAAGTTAAAGGAAGAACTCAAGATGGTATGTGAAATAAAGAAGACAGGATATGGATATAGTTTAGGTTGAGGGGGTGGGAGAATGTGGGTTAAAAAGATTCTGAGTTCAATCTGACATGGTAAGTCCTATATGACATTTAGGAAAAATCTGAAATTCAGAAGAGAGCTCCACTGGAAATACAGAAAGGCACATCTGTGTCAGTGTGAGCTAAACAGGATTAGCACAGAGTCCATCCACTGATTTTGAGTGTATTATGGTATGAAAGGAGAGGTCCTCAGATGGAAATTTGTGGAGTATCAATTCACTTAAAGCATGAGAAGAGCTGCTGCATACAGTCAGTGGAATTATATAATGCACAGTGCCAAGGAAAGTCTTTTACACAGACTGCAATGCAAACAATACCCTCAAGAGCTGCGTAGTATACAATCTGTACAACCAAACATACCAGCCCAGGAAAGGAAGAGAGACAGAGAAAGGATTGATCAGAGAGGTGAAAATACTACCTGAAAAACTATGGTATAATGGATTCAAATTCTTTAGAAGATAGTTACCAAAAGGAAGTTTTAAAGAAAGGTGAAATAAACTACGTTAAAAAAAGTCTAATAAAGAATAGTTAAGTATGGCCTTTTTAAAGAAACTGGCTGTCAAAACAAAAATTTAAGAATGGAAGAATGGTATTTGAGGAAAGTTTATGGCTTTTTTTTTAAAAAGATGGAAGAGATTTGTTTGTATTTATAGGCTACGGGAAGATGACTCTGGAAAAGAAACAAGAATAAATGAACATTATTTGACTGTCTACTATATTGTAGTAGAGTGCTAAGCATTCGTATAGGTGTAAGAGAAAGGATAAAAGAAAAAGCAAAGTCTAGGAAGCACTGGATTGGGATAAATAACTGGTGGAGAGATTGTTCTTAAGTATCATGAAGATTAGAGAGAGGAGAGATGTGGTCCACAGGTCACTTTAAAATATAACACTTTTAAAATGCTGTTACAGATATTGATCACTTAGTTATTCTAGTTTTCACTTCTGACCTATCACACATAGCCCAATCTACCTAACATTTAGTTTTTTTTTTTAGAGGCTGACTAGTCAGTCTGTGGATTATAACCTGAGCCCTTTGGCTCTCTTCCTTTGATGTAATTTGGATTATATCATTAGCAATTCTGCTCTAATGTCTTTCTAAAGAGAAGAGACAAAAACGCTTAGAATATTACATATAGCTATTAAGCCAAGGATTAGATACTAAATTTAACCAACCTAGTGTTAAACTAATTTTTGCTAGTTTGAGGC